AGGCAACATTATTGTTGTCCTCTAGTTCTTATCCAGCTATTAGTGATATTTGTCTTGTATTTATTAGGCTATAGCACTATCTTGATCAATATCTCTCTAACTATGAAGAGAATGAATGCTATATAGCATAATTAATAATGCACAAACTAGAAGAGTATTGGAACAATATTGAAGAATTGACTATATTACCTACTTTACTTAATCTATATTCAAAGTTGAAAACTTTTGTTACATGTGAAATCTAATCAGCTGCTATAAGTTTGCTACAAGAACATATGTCAAGCTATAAAGAAACACCTTTAAATAAATTTACTACTATACAAAAAAAAGAAAATCAAGAAAGAAAAAAGAATCAGCAGTTATTTTTTGAATCATTTTTACAACAAAAAAATGATGTACTGATAGAAAATGAGCTAGAATGATACTTGGTTCTTCCACTTGTTCTAGAAGAAAACCTATTTAAATGGTGGTATAAGTTTGAAAAAGAATTCCCAATACTCAGTAAAATAGCAAGAAATTACCTGTCGATACAAGGAACTAGTGTTCCAAATGAATATGCATTTTCAATTGCAGCTCATACTGTTACAAAAATTAGAAGTAATCTTGCTCCAAATTCAGTACGTACTGCAATATATTTAAAAAGTTAAATAACAAAGATTCATGATAATTATCATAATTATGATAAATTGTAATAAACCTTTATACTATATAATATTTCATGATAGTAACAGGTTGGATTTTTAAATTAGTAGTTTTTGTTGTTTTGTGTAGGTTAAACATATAATTAGATGAATTTTATTTAATAGATTAGAAAATATTCAAAAGATTGATAAAAGATAAATTTTTTGCAATTTTTAAACAGCATATTATTTTTCAGATAGATAGTATTGATTATATATAGTCATGCATATTACTAAGCATAATTATGCTAGATTTATATAATTATGTATAAATCATTAAATTTGATGTATTAGAATATCATGAAATAATCTAATAAATCATATATAAAACTTTGCACTAAAACAATATTATTTTTCAATATTAATTATTTTCTTATTTTGTAACTGATTAGCTTATTTATTTAATATAATAATAATTAACATTAATATCAATTAAATTGCCTATAATAATAGTACAATTACAAATTCTGCTAATTAAACATCCTGCACATATTGATACGTACTATGTATGATAAGCTAGTTATTTAAAAATAATAATAAAAAATAATAATGATAATTCAATATATATATTAACATTATTATTATTAT